AATTTTGGGATGCAGATTAGGGTACTGAGCCTCATCTAATCAGTGCCAAATTTACTAATTGTAATCCACAATTCCGATGATTCTCACCAGAAACAGTTGTCATCCCACTTCTCAGGAAAAGTTTTTAATACCTAAGTGCTGGACCATGTTCTACTAAAACTTTGCTGTGGCATGTTTTGCAAAAGTAATGAAGTCACTGACTTTATAAAGGACTGGATCCTAGTACGTTTACTCATACGAGTTCTGGTGATTTCAGTGGGACTGCTCATGTAAGTTAGGCTAGCAGGATCAAGCCTTTAGAGAATCAACAAGGCCTGAACCTGCTTGCTTTAATGACTCTGGTAGTTCTGTTTAAACCCTTGGGCCTACTTGTAAGAGTAAGGTAAACAGAGGGTATGTCTACACTTAGAATAATTGTCTACACTTTTTGCACTGTAAGTTTCACCGGTGATAGGGAACCGGTAAAAGTAAAGCGCTGGTTTGTGTACTCACTCAATTCCTCAGGTGTCAGAGTGTGTTTATGCTACCAGCACTTCCGATGAGAGCAGCGCTGTAGGGAAGCTATCCCACAGGGTAGCTCTCTTGAGACGTCTTGTGGGATGGGGGGGTGAGCGGAAGGCATTCTGGGTCCCTTCTCAGTGCCCCGTGCTGCCCTGCTTCATGTCTCAGGAGCCCCATTACTTCCTGGTTTTTTCCGTGGCATTTTTTAAAAACCGCCACATCTACAAGCAAAGGGAAAGGGAGCTTCAGACTTCCCAGAGCTTACAGGGGGAGGGGCGGACGTCCGTGCATCGGAGCAGTGGAGCTGCTGGCCAGAGTGGTCGCTTTTGGAACTGGGATATCCTCCGGAGGCCAAACGTTTTGAGTTTCACTGCCAAAAGTCATTAACAAGTGTAGATGCTCCCGCGGTTTTAGCGCAAAAAAGGGACTTTTTGTGTCTTAAATGGTATGTGTAGACATACCCAGAATTTACCTTCTAATGGAGTGGAAGAGAGGAAAATTCCTCTATTGCATAGTTTCATTTGGTCAAGCCAGAACTGTTCCACTTCACTGAATAAGTAAAGTGTCGCACAGTTCCGACCAAAGCTGCGTGAATAATAGCACTATATTGGTTTCCATTAGAAGCTCCACGAATACCTCAGGTTCAATGTGCAACTTATGGTTGCTTTATAGCAAATATGTTAGCAGAGTCTGTCAATTTAAAACCTTTAATTCTCAGGCTTGACTTTCCTTTTTTTGTAAAGCTCTCAAACAAAATGGCTTAGTTTTTAAGTTATATTTTGCAAGCAGTTGTTTAGTCCTCTTCCTGTAGACTAAGCTAATTTTCTTCTAATTTGGAAAGTGTCACCTAGACCTAAATATAAAAATGGTCAAGATGTCATAATCTCTCCAAGTAAATGGAAAGGAAATTAAAACTTTATAGTTTTCCAGTTACTAAATTATTTGAACTCTTAAAGAACAAAGAATAGTGATGAGTCGGTGCCAAAATTAAGGACCAATTCCTGTTTTTTGTGACTTCCGCAAGCAATTTCTTTTTTTCCTGGTGGGTTTTCTCACACAAATCAGGTAAGAAGGGTTTGGCCTGTAATTAACGTCTGCAGAAACAAAAAATGAAACCATTTACCATAATAAATTGGAGCGTGCATGCTAGTCAGCGTTAGGAAGCGGGGGAGTGGCAGTGAGTTTATAAGGCTAATCCAGTCTTGGGAAGAAAGCCACCATCTCTCTTCTTTAATATCCAATTGTATGCGACCTCCGCTAACGCTCCTCCAGGAAGAAGAGTTTCCCTACTTTGATGTGCAGCTGTCATCTGAAACAGCAGTAGCCTAAAAAGATCTGCAGTGAGAGTGTGAGGTTTACCCTTCCAGCAAAAAGTTCCACCCTGTGGATATGGTGCTGAGAAAGAAATACAGCAGCCTTACCAGTCAGGTCTGAAGGCACCTACTGGAAGCAAAGCAGGAGAAGCTTCTGGGTGATCAGCAGTACGTGCAGTCAAACTGACTGTCAGCTTGCCTATTCTGACTCCTCACAGCCAACTGTACTCCCATCCCCCTGGGTTCTTTATGCTGCTCTCTGGAAGGGGATTGGACATGAGGTTGAGGGAGTTTCCATGCTTCTCCATTATTCTCTGAGCTGGGGATGCCAAATCCCCTTTCTGCTGGCCTGTGTTGGCACCTGCCTCCCCCTCTTTAGGCAGGAGTTGATCACTGAAGGTAGCAGGAAGGAAAGGGAGCATTAGAGAGAAGATTATTTAATCTCAAGGTAAAACGGCCCGTGGAACACGCTCTACCTTCCATTTTTGTTAGTTTCTCAGAGCTTAATTTCTAAAACATTTAACCTTTATTTAAGAAGTTAGAACACTTGCTTGACAGTACATACTCTAGTAACTGTATGTTGAACCTTGCACTGTAACAGGCTGTTCTTGCATTCCCAAAGCTACCTGAAAACTTCTTTTCTACTGAAACTTTCCATTGTGTTTCTGCTCAAAGGTAGAAAACTACTTTGGAAAAACCTAAGCACAATCTATCAAGCCTTTGTTTTTATTTATTTTTTTTATTTTATTTTAGAAATTGTAACTCAAAAGTACCACCCTTTAACAAGCTGACACTTTCACTTCTTAAAAAAAGAAAAAAAAACCCTACCCCTTTATTTTCAGACACTAAGAAAGGGTGTAGTAACAATAGCTTGTTGCAGATCATATTGCTCCCAATGAACCTGAAAGATAAAATGTTTCAGATATGTCAGCCAAGTATATGGGGACTGTACTACACTGACCGCTCTAATGGCTATTTGATGGGTTAGTTTTATATGATACCTGAAAGCTGAGGAGGATGTGGGACAAAAGAAGGGGAAAGCGGATAAGGAGAAGTCTGGATTTCTTGGATGGGGAGAGACAGTGTAGCTATGTCTTGATAAGAGATAATTGTGGGATATGACAAATGTCTTATAGAAACTCATAGGATAAAAATAGCTCATCTAGGTCTTTGTTAGAGAGGATGATCTCCATTACAAGGTGAATGTTGCCTGCTTCCAATCACATAAGAATGGAGGGTCTTGTCCTTTTTGTGAGTAAAGGACAGTTTTAAAGAAAGTCATTTCTGCTAAAACTGATCTTTTAATATAAAGTGCAATAGGGAATCTTCCCCCAAGTCCCAGGGGTGCTGGAACACTTTTGTATAGTGGGTGGTGCTGAGAGCCATTGAACCAAACTGTCCCCGCTCTATATGATGGAAACAACTTTAAGCCAGGGGGTGTGGCAGCACCCCTAGTTCCAGCATTTATGCCAAGGCCTGGCTTGTCTCAAAGTACAAGGTGAAGTTTAGAGCTTAAAAATATGGCTAGACATTTCATGCTGTATTTCTTGTAGGAGTCAAAATATTGGAGAAAAGGGTTGAATTGGAGTTATTAAAAACAAAATTTTGTGTCTGGGATGTGTTGCTGCTGAAATTTGAACCAGAAAGAACACAGCTTGGCTCTTATTGAGTTGTCAGGCCCACGGAAAAACCATTGTATTACTTGTTAAAGGAATACATGTCATGTCATATATGAACCACTGAGACACACATGGAACCTCATGTGGGCATTCTTTTTAATAATAATAATTTTTAAAAAGTGACTGTTTTACAAAACTTGCAATTTACTTATTCTCAATCTGTCAAGAACAGACTGGGCATTAATAAGTCAGTGGAACATAATGCTCTCCCTGCTTAATAAAACCTAAACACAAAGTAGAATTTCATATTGCAAAGAGTCATTTTGTCAGACACGTGTGTTCATGGAAAATCTCTCTCCCATTAATCCTTTGCTGCTGTATTGCAAAGAAAGGTGAATTCCCTCTTCTAAGACAGCATTTTTCATATTGAAGCTGTAAACCTTCAGAACGATAAACTGATAGTTTAGTGTGCAAAGCCCAGTCCTTGGCACATAATTGTTAACCCTGATCCTGAACAAGCAAGAAAATCGTGAAGGCCAGGCCAAGGAACAGAAATGAACCACTGCAGCAAAGTATACCCCAAACATGTGGGTAAGGAAAGGGAGGGGAAAATCTACAAAGAGCTGGTGGTGTGATGAAGCAGTGTTTCCACTCATTTCTTGGTTTTACATTCCCCACAGACGTGACACTGGTCCTTGCTTGGCTTAGACTTCAGAGATTAGCACAGATACAATGTCTGGTCCAGCAATATATCTGCTGGCGCAGCTGGCTGTCACTATTCAGAAGAAACCTATGGAAATAAAATGTTCGTACGTACTTACTTTAGAAAGGGCCCTGTGACATACTCAGTGTGTGCAATACTGTAATATTCTATGATAAAATTTGTCATTGTATAAATGACATTTTCTGCTTGATTTGGCTAGCTTGGAGATATAGCAAGTACATTTAAAAAAAAAAAGTTGAAGAATAAGGGCTCAGGGTGAACATGCATGCTACTATAAAACCCCATGCTTGAATATGCAAGTTGGGAAATTAGTCATTCAGTGACCTGACTTGCACGTGCATGTGGCTCAACTGTTGCATGGTAATCTAAAAATTTAGTCTTAGAAGTCTAGCATACTGAAAGAATTGTTAATAGTTCCCCAAAGACTTGCAGTGTTCTACTCTTCTATACATCATCTTTTCCATGCTATTACTGGCCTGTTGAGTGTGGCTGTGATAGGAGTAAAGTACTTGTTCTGGATTGTGTGAATGGTGCTAGACTAGAAACAAAACATGTACACACTTCACTAATACAGTGGTAAGGCTGAGAATTCAGTGCACAGGTCACTTTGGACTTTCCACCCAAAAAGTGGATTATACACTCTATACATTTGGAGATGGCACTTTCTCAACAGGATAAAATTAGCTGCTGTTTAAAAATGAAGGGAAAATGTTGACCTCTTAGTGCATTGGGCAAATATTCTTTCAGAAAATGGCATTTTTGGTAAGTTTTAACTTTTGTCAAAGAAATCTCTGTTTTCAAACAGTTCTGATTTGTGTATTTTTTTCCCCCACACTGCTACAGGTCTGGCTTGCTCTGTCTTCCACCACCTTCGTTGCCAAAGCAAGAGGACCCTCCTACTGATGCTTGCACTAACTGGATTCCTGAAAACAGACGGGCTGCGAAGGGTGAGATGGAGTCCCAGCTTTCTAGTGAAAAACCTCCCAAAGGAAACAATGATGAACAGGTTCCTCCTCTTTTGCCACCTCCATCGCCAGGCAATGTTCCTCCTTACCCGCCCTATTTTGAGGGAGCTCCTTTTCCTCCTCCCTTATGGTTAAGACACACATATAACCAGTGGGTTCCTCAGCCACCACCAAGGACTATAAAGAGGACAAAAAGACGGTTGTCACGAAATAGAGACCCAGGAAGGCTTATCATGAGCACTATTAGGCTGAGGCCCAGGCAAGTGCTCTGTGAAAAATGTAAAAATACTCTGAACCCAGAGGAAGTGAACTACAAAGCCAGGCAAAATGCTAAAACAAGGAGGAAGCTAAGCATTCAGGATAAGGAGCAAAAAAAACACAGTGATTCTGATTCTGTAGAGAAAAGGAACAAAAGAGAAAAGAGGGAGGAAGACAAATTTTCTGGGGAATTAGTGCATCGAACTCCAGTTATAAAAATATCCTACAGCACACCACAAGGTAAAGGTGAAGTAGTGAAAATTCCCTCCCGGATTCATGGATCAGTTAAACCATTTTGTCCACAGCGGATATTGCAGAATGGAGGGGAGGACCAAGAGGAGAACCGAGACTCTGAACGATATCAGGAAACCAAATGTTTTATGGATAAGTCGGCAAGCAGCCAACTTGCTTCCATTCCAAAACTGAAATTAACTAGGCCTGTGCATTCCAATGCAGATGTTCCACCTCCAAAAATCAGACTGAAACCCCATCGAATAAATGATGGTCAGAGTGTTTCCATTTATAAAGCAGAACTTATTGATGAGATAAATGTCCTTCAGAGTAGCAGAGAGTCCAATCCTGCTGCATTTTACACTGATGAATCTGCAGATAGAAGTTTAGCAGAGATGTCTTCAGGGAGTTCAGGTGAAGATGATGACTTCAAAAGATTTCCCCAAGGTAAAGATGGACATGATAACTTGGCTTTTCTTATGAATTATCGTAAAAGGAAGGCAGATTCTTCTAGTTTATCAGTGTGTAGCAATGACAGTCTAGATGAATCCAAATCCTCTAGTTCAGAAGTAACATCACCAGAAATGTGTGACTTTTTACCTGGTGATGATGCATCTGTTTCTTCATCTTCAAAAGATGACCGTAAAATTGTGCCACCATTAACAGTTAGACTACATACACAGAGTGTCTCTAAATGTGTCACTGAAGATGGAAGAACTGTTTCAGTGGGGGATATTGTTTGGGGTAAAATTCATGGTTTCCCATGGTGGCCGGCACGTGTTCTTGACATAAACCTTAGCCAGAAGGAAAATGGAGAACCTTCCTGGCGAGAAGCTAAAGTATCATGGTTTGGTTCTCCAACAACCTCATTCTTATCTGTTTCAAAACTCTCTCCTTTCTCTGAATCTTTCAAACTGAGATTTAATCGTAAGAAGAAAGGGATGTATCGGAAAGCTATTACAGAAGCTGCAAAGGCAGTAGAGCATCTGACCCCAGAAATAAGAGATCTCTTAACCCAGTTTGAAACATAACTTTGCCTCCAGTACCAGGTGAGTGCATACTGGATTGATGCTACCTGTACTAACATTCTTGTACAGATTGCATTTGTCTTCTTGTCATGTCTGTTCTTATTTCTCTTTGTTTTGTCTTTGAGTTGCCTAAAAGATCAGGGTTAAACTTCTTATTCAGAGGTCTAGAAACACATGTTTAAGTGACCTTTCAGAAGGGTGAGAACCTTTAGCTCTCACAGACTTCAGTGAGACTCGCAGGAAGCAGCCCCTTAATTCTAGTAGGGGACTATGGGCCAATTTATTGCTGTGGGGAAAGGAGCATTGTTGCTCAGGGTGGCCCCATACTACCTCCCAACCAGCTTTGCTAGTGTACCATCTGGACAGATGAGGGAACAGACGTGTAATTACGTGGGATTCTAAATGTGGGTATGTGAGAAGCAGACTCATGCAGTCTTGTTTTGACTCTGACAATGACATTGTAGGTAAGTGACTTGACTGTCTCTGTTTTGCCATCTAAGTACATATCGGTGTAATAATACTTGCCTACCACACAAGGGTGTAATGGGTATTGACTGACCGTACTTATGTGCTAAAATTCATCCTGCTGTGGCTGAAGACCTAGTGGCCCCTTAGCTGTTTTGGTGAACTATCCCTTGAAAAAACACTTTCATAAATGATAACTTACATGTAGACACTATACAAGCAGCTGGCTTTAATAATCAAAGATGCTCACGATGGCCCTCTCTCCACCCCCTTCATTCTTCTCAAAGTCTAACAGTCCACTTGGGTTTGCTTCCTTCTGCAAAAGATATTCTCTTCTCCATGTGTCTCACTTTAAACTACAATAATCACATCCGACTATTTGTCCTAAAGCTAAGAACAAAACACTTGGTTCCTTTTTCTCTGGCAACTTCCTGAAAGTACAATGCCCTGAGTACCACTGAGAGAAGGTGGAAGGACATCAACATAGTAATCAGTTCTTGGGAAACAGCTGAGAGCATAATATTGGTTCTCCTATGTGATTGAAGAAGAGATACTTTTTCTCTTACTTTTAAGTTGTAATATGTGTCTCTGTTGTGATCAGTCTTCAGTGTTTAAAATTACAAAATGTAGCGCAAACTCAAATAGCTCTATTATTTCAATTGCAATTTGCATTTTATAGGGCCTGTCCCTGCTCCAATTGAAGTCCATGGCAAAACTCCTGGTGACATTGAATAAGATCAAGATTTGTCTCTTGGCATCCTGCTGATGGTGGCTATCATGCTAAACATGACCACATGCATGACACTTACAGATTGGGACCCCAGTGAAATATTATTAAACCAGGATACAAACTAACTCTTTTTTTTTTCTCTGAAATCACAATTCTAACTGTTGGAAAAACTTTTCCTCTTTTAAAATGTAGTTTTGTGCTCTGGCTCCCACAGAACTCAGTACTGGTTCATCACTTTGTCCCTTATTTTCCTCATTTGCCTTATTTAAGAAATGCATACACAAGCCAATGATTTTTTTTTTTCCAAGTTTCTAGCATGAGGAAGCTTACTCGTGATTATAGCAATATTTGACTCAACACTTCAGCTATAGGGACTAAGCTGGTAAATGTTTGTATAATTCTGAGGCAGGCAGGTTTGATCTAGAGGAAAATGAAGGGAAATTCTGCTGACAGTTTGCTTTTGCAAACTTATTCTGGATAGTTAAATCTTGAAAAACTGCACTAATGAGAAGCACTGGAAATTCTTTCACCCTCCATCAAATGTCACCAGTTTATTTACCTGAATGTGAGAGAGACCCAGAATTCTCCCTCTTTCTTTGTACCATGACCATTGTGCCAAATTCCTCACTTCTCCTAGGTAAAAACCTGAATTGATCTTAGAAAGGCCTTAAGGTATTCCTGGAAACTTTCTTTATCTTCTCTCTACCCAAGTGCCATATCTGACTCACCTTTTCAGTCTTTCTGCTAAAATTATCTGTCAGTCTCCATGAGAAAATAACTATCTGCTAACTACAATAGTTACATGCATCTGACGAAGTAGATATTCACCCACAAAAGCTTATGCTTCAATATGTCTGTTAGTCTATGAGGTGCCACAGGACTCTTTGCCGCTATCTGCTAACTATGCCACAACCTAATCCTGTACCAACCAGGAGGCAGCCATCACATCTGAGGACTTGTAAGGAGGGAAAGGGGCAGGAGATCAAAGGTCATCATCACTTGGATCGTCAGTATGACATTATACTGATCCTACACTGGATTTTTCTTGTTTGTGGCTCCTTTTTTCCCCATTGTGTCTTGCTTTTACATAATTTTTATGACATGCATCAATAACTAGATGATACCGTATTTGAATACCTTGTCTAAAACTAGCTTTCTGTCCCTTCAATGGGACAGAGTTTCATTGCTTTCTGTGAATTTTCTTAAGACAACTGAAGTTTTTTCACCACTTTTGGTAACTGACGACTTCTTTTCCTTTTAGTTGCTATAGGTCACAGTGGCTCAGTTACTGTTGCAATCAGTCATGCCAGGAAAAACTTGTTTGTGTTGTAAATCAAAGTGTGTCTTGATTTAGAATGTTCAGAGGTGAATCTTCTATGTCTCTGATACGGTAATTAACAAGATTACGTAGCCATACTTGTAATAACACACTTTGTGCCATTGCAGAAATGGGCCCATTAATAGTTGGGTAAGGGGAGGTCTGTTTACAAACCAAATCCAATAGAACTACATAACATTTATAACAAGGAGTCCGGTGGCACCTTAAAGATTTAACAGATTTATTTGGACATAAGCTTTCCTGGGTAAAAAAAAACAAAACCCACTTCTTCAGATGGGTTTTTTTTTTTTACCCACGAAAGCTTATGCCCAAATAAATCTGTCTTTAAGGTGCCACTGGACTCCTCCGTTGTTTTTGTGGATACAGACTAACATGGCTAGCCCTCTGATACTTGGCCCACAACATGTATGTTTACAATTAAAGTAATTGATATGATCCGACTAGATCAATAAGTAAAACAGTCACTCACCTGTCACAAGTGTTCTACTGTTAACCTTCTCAAATATCTTAGGTGGCTTCTGGCCTATAGGGGACGGAGAACACATTGGGGAGTTACTGGAGACCTCAGTATAAAGCAGAGGTGGGCAAACTACATTCCGTGGACCACATCCGGCTTGTGGGACCATCCTGCCCAGCCCCTTGAGCTCCTGGCCTGGGAGGCTAGCCCCCAGCCCTCCCCTGCTGTCCGTTTCTCTCTCCTCCTCCCCCCCCCCCCGGTCTCAGCTCGCTGTGCCACCAGCACACTGGGCGGCGGGGCTGTGAGCTCCTGCCAGGCAGCATGGCTGCGAGAGCTGCCAGCCTGTCCCAGTGCTCTAGGCTGTGCAGCGGCGTGGCTGGCTCTGGCCGGGTGGCATGGCTGCCAGTCCTGGTGCTCTGAGCAGCATGGTAAGGGAGTGGAGAGTAGGGGGGTTGGATAGGGGGCAGTCAGAGGACAGAGAGCAGGGGGTGGTTGGATAGGAATGGGAGTCCCGGGGGCCTGTCAGAGGCAGGGGTGTGGATAGGGTCCAGGTCGGTCAGGGGGAGTTGGTTAGGGGGTGTTGGGGTCCTCGGAGGGGGTGGTCAGGGGACAAGGCGCAGGGAGGGTTGGATGGGTCAGGGGTTCTGAGGGGGGCAGTCAGGGTGTGGGCAGTGGGAGGGGGCGGATAGGGGGTGGGGGCCAGGCTGTTTGGGGAGGCACAGCCTTCCCTACCAGCCCTCCATACAGTTTTAGAACCCCAGTGTGGCCCTCAGGCCAAAAAATTTGCCCACCCCTGATATAACATCTACAAATGCAAAATAAGCTGAATACACGTGGATTCACTTAATACTAGAGCTGATCAAATAATGTTAACCATATCTAACTAAATTATTTGACCAATTATTACAAAACAAAACTTCCAGTTGGCAAGGTTAATTAGCCCTACTTTTTGCTTCCCCTGCAAAATGTACTTTGAGTAGAGAGTTAACCTTGTCATTAAATCGCCAATAAAAATATGGCAACGGGGAAAAAGCAAGGCAGAGTAGTAACCTGTAAAATCCAATTTCATAAGACACTCTTGATTCAGCAGATAGGGAAAAAATCTCCCACTAAACATGTTCCCATGCCTCTTTGCAGCTGTCTTTGATATACAAGCATAACTTGCTGTTTGAGAACTGGTGGCTTCATAAATGTCTTTTGCACTGTAACTAAATGCTTGTAATAAACAGATTCTTATTTCAGTGGTATGTTTGTTTTGGTAAGCATTGAAACTCGGACCAAGTTTGGTGATTCTGCTTTTAAGATTAAAGTTTTTTGTAGTTGCTACTGAAAATTAGCTGGACAAGTCCTGAAAATAATGGCAGCGTCAGAACAGTGGATGATATTTAACCTTAAATCTAAATCCCTATTTACAGCAGGCCTGCTTGAAGGCCTGCATAGAGCGTTTTAGCAAGGGTCATGTTGTAAATGGGAGTGTTTAATGGGGGTTGGGAGCCAAAATGTAGTCAAGTCTTCTGCCAGGATTGCTTTTGAAGGCAGACCTCCTTGGGGTAGGGTGGGGAGAAAAGTGTGGGAAGATGGTTACCTCAAACTGTGTTCTGTGTAAAACCGAAAATATGGATCTGGCTTTGTCTTGAGCAAAGGCAAGCCTGTATTCACTTGCTGAAGTCCCAAGTGGAGCTGAAGTTGCACTGTTATCACTTTTGGCATAGCTTACTTTTAAGCAAGCTTGCAGCAATTCTTGGTTCTGCCACTTTCAGATTATTTGAGCAAAACCAGATCAGGTTCCAAGGATGTAACCAAGTTATATTTATTGACTTGGCTTATGAAAATCATTCCATATTCTCCCCCAGTCCTCTTGTAGGAGTTCATCACTAGTGTTGAAGACACTTATGAAATCACCGATAGAGGATATTAATGGGTAAATGGGTCTTCAGCGTGACTGGATTTCTTTAACGTCGGAAACAAAACCACTGAAGATGTATCTGTGGTTGAGGGAGAGGGGTGCAGCATATATGTACCTAGATAGA